GGGGGGGGGGTGGTGTGCATGAAATCATCTATAGGCAAGCAGAAATTCTGTCCAAGCTAGCAAGATACTAAGCTCTCAGTGAAGACTGTTATTCTGAGAGTAGATAGTCCAAAATCCAAATTAAGTTATGCCACTCAGGCAAAAACTTACTGTATGCTTTAACACTTAAATCATCTAATTCCCACATTATTGCATTACAGAAACCCACAAGTGTTCTGAGACAGAAAAATCACTCTTGAGTCTTTACAGTCTAAAGGAGAGTTCCCTTCTTAATTTATATGTATTAAGAGACAAGCGAAACGGTTTTTCTTGTTTTACTGGAAATGGCTCTGGAGTTTAAGTCTAACTCTCCAAGAACACAGCTGGACCCTGGGTTCACTACTAGCTAATAAAACTGTCAGCCAGACAGCTGCAAGGGAACGCACAGGTCACAGATCACTATTCAGAAGGAAAGGCTTGAGGCTATGGCATTCAGCATAAAGGCACTGAATTCAGTTTAGGAGCTTAGTACTGTATTTGCCAAGAATGACAGCAAGACAACCCCACATGTTTACTACCTTGCTGGTACTGCTGGGGAAAAAAGAAATTCCTGCATTGCTTTAGCAGTGGAGATCTGAGGATGTGTAGCTTAATTCCAAAGTGCTGTTAACAAGGAAATGTTATCTTGTATTAATTTTACTTGTTGACCTATACATGCTTTGTATTATCTCACCATTTTTTAATGTGACTTGGCACCTAGGACCACACTGAACTAACTTCTCAATGTATAGTCAAACTTGACAATGAATTTGTTCATTTTGAACAAGTCACTTTAGCAATCCCCACTTCTGGTCAGAGCAACTGTCCTTGTGAGTGTGCATGTGGAAAAAAAGAGGAACAGTCTGGAACACCGTTTAGAAGCACCTACAAGGTAAATCCAAATCTACATGTTCCAAGTTCCTCTGAAACTCAAGTCTTCTCTTCAGTCTCAGAATATCAAGTTTTCCATTCCTCCTGCTACAAAGACTCCCAAATACACTCGGAGTTCTCCATGCCTTTCACGGTTCCTGCCTTAGAAGTCCTCTCAGTCATTCCAAAGCCATCCCTCTCCACCATACAGCTCATGCGCTACAGGACAACTGTAGACCCTCAAAAATCATTGTTCTACATGATCTGGTCACCCATTTTCTCCGCTCCTGAAAAAAAAAAAAAGACAGTGTTCCAACAGCTCAAACTAAACCATTACACACAGCTGTTGGGAGGGAGCTAGACTGGAGGACTAGGCTCAGATTCAGAAGACTGCAAGCCAGTAACTCCAGCTGGACTCAAAGGGCTGAGATCTATGGCCTTCCCTCTTGGACA